AGCTGGCTTAACATCTAGGGCAGCCTCTTGCAGACAAGACCACAGGGTAAACCAGCATGCCAACAAGTGAGATCATTCCAGTCGCCAGATGCCCTAAAATAATCCCCTGCGTGACCAGTCCACATGTTGCCACAAGGCTCCATACCATTTGAATTTGGTTCATTTGAGGACCATTTGGTGAAGGTAGGGACTGAATGATCGAACCACACATAGGCCTTTACGTGAGAGTCCCACTTGAGTCCGATCCAAATCTGCTTCAGCGATGGGGCGAGCTTGTTTACGAGGTTTAGTACAAACTCGTTTTCCTCCTTGCTGTTGATTTTCACCAGATTTCCTCCCAGTTCTATGCAGTGCATTTGGGCATTTTGCCAAGTCTTGATAGAGCTACTGACAAAATAGCAGTATCCTTTGAATCGCACCCAGCCCTGTGGACAAGGAACGCCTGAAAGAAAAGTAGGAAGTTTTACAAACCTACCGTAAAATTCCGAAAATAAGCCCCTCCATGTATAAGCCTCTCCAAATATAAGCCCCCCCAAACCGGTAACGTAAAAAACCCTCCGTTAAATCACCCCTCCGAATATATGCCCCCGGGAAGCTTGTACTTGGAAAACCTGCCCTCAAATACAAAGTAAAACAAAGCAAAAATGGTAAATTTACTTCCAACTATAAGGCTAGCCCAATCGATTTTGAAACGCAAATTTCCTTCCCAATATAAGCCCCTCAAAAAGGGCCTTTGAAAAAATATAAGCCCCTGGCCTATTCTCTGGATTTTACGGTAACTGGTAGTTAATTTCGTGGTTACATTCGTAACAGTTTTTCGCGGGGTCTTATCTCAATCTCCGGTTTTCGCGATTTCAATAATTAATAGCATATGAACAAAAGGCATTGAATTTCGCGATTCAAATGTTCTCACCCGGTGATTTTTTTTCCCCAACGTTTCTGACATTCTAAATTTGTAGATTAACTGTATGGGCATCGGGCCGGATACTAGCTAGAGTTTCTTCTTCAGTATGCGAATGTTAATTAATTTAAAACACCCTCTTTCATAGAAGATACAAAACGGAACTTACTAAAAGTCAGTGGATTATTCGTGTATTTCTCAAATTATTATTGTACTGTGTATATGCCGTTATAATTACATGTTTTATCATCTTTTCTGTGATTTGAATATTCTATGAACTATTTGGTCATTGAATTTCGCGTGTTTAAATTTGACGAGGATTCTTTTTCGCGAAAAACGCCAAATTATAACACTGAACCGCGAAAATTGATTATTGCAACATTGTTTGGGGAAACTGTGGGATAACTTTACGGAATAAGGTTCAAAAGCTACAAAACAGAGCAGCCCGTGTTTTGACCTACTCAAGCTATGACGTAGATGCTGGTCACCTTTTCAAACTTCTCGGGTGGAAAAACCTAGCTTGCCAGCAACAAATTTAAAGAGCTACGATGGTTTACAGGTCTCTGCACGGGTTGGCTCCAAACTATCTTAGTTCTAAATTTGAAAGGCGAGAAGTCGCATAATATATAGATTTAGCCAGGGCTAAACACGAAGCTCCTATCAACTCGAATTTATAATTTAAATCAAACAATAAACACGTTTCTTTAGAGCACATTCATGTGACTCTTTTGAGGGAAAGGCTAAGTGATTTTAGAGAAAAAAATAATTTGCAAACAGTCCAAGCTAAGAGTGAACTTAATCTTGCATCGAGTTAATAGCCTTATATGTACACCCAGTAGCATAGCCATAATGGCTCTTGATCACAGTAGATAAGACCTGGAAAAAAAATTCTTGGAAAACACATCAGGCCGAATTTTTTGCGTTCGACAAGTTTACTTTACAAAATCTAGCCAACAAGTCTGGGGACGTGTAAACCTAACCTTTTATACTTTTTATACACCACATCTGAGGTGAAACAGTACCATGAGGCGCTGTTTTTATCATACAGACCTCGGTCAGAATGCAGTATTTCACAATAGACCTTTTTACCGATACGGCGGTCATATTGAATTATTTAAGGAGTATTATAGGATGCCCAGGGGGCATGAGCACATTTCGTTTGTATTTTCGAGCGCTTTTCGGTACATTTTTTCTTAAAGTTTTCTTAGAATAAGATTGTAATGGGAAAAAAGATCCTTGTACCGTGTTTGGATGTAATAATGATCGCCTTTTTCTAGTTTAGTATTAGAAATATAATCTTTCACTGTATATTTCTCGGAAAAAAGGCGATCATTATTACATGGTGCTCCGCTGGCTTGCTTCGCGCGCCGGAGCTCCGCTATAACCTAAGGGACTCTGAAAATAAACTTGTCAATGTTCCATTACCGCGCACAAACTAATACAAAAACAGCTTCAGCTATATTGGCGCCATTCTCTGGAACAGTCTTCCTTGTAACTTAAGGGAAGCAGAGTCCCTTGGGCAATTTAAACGATTACTCAAAGAACTGTAAGGCACGGCATTCGTGGAAAGCAGCTTTTTCATTTAAATATTTTTATTATATTAGTATTAGGCATTTTTAAAGCTGACGAATTTTGTACCGTGGATAAATAAAGATTATCTATCTATCTATCTATCGATCTATCGATCTATCTATCTATCTATCCATCTATCCATCTATCCATCTATCCATCTATCCATCTATCCATCTATCCATCTATCCATCTATCCATCTATCCATCTATCCATCTATCCATCTATCCATCTATCCATCTATCCATCTATCCATCTATCCATCTATCCATCTATATCTATCTATCTATCTATCTATCTATCTATCTATCTATCTATCTATCTATCTATCTATCTATCTATCTAAAATAAGTACCCGAAGTGGGTACTGTTGTTTGAAAGAAGGCAATGGAAGAAAAATTGACCAAAGACTAACTATTGGTTCGTGGGGCGGGGGGTGGGGGAAGAGGGGTTTATTTTTTGCGGGATCAACTTTACTCACCAAGTATTCGCTCGATATCTTGCAGTTTTGCAAGTGTTGGGTCATTGACAACACTTCGTTTAATCACACTGCTTGTCTGAACTGCAAGAAAAATTGCACTCACATCAATCAACAATATCTAAGTAGGATCCTCAATTTGTGAAAGAGTACTAGTGACTGGAAATTGCAAACGTTTTCACGGAAAAATGCCAATACTATCTTTTTTGTAGCCGATGAAGTGATCATAACCAAGATTTTGGAGAAGTATTTCTGACGAAATCGAAGCCGCAACGATCGCTAAAGATGAAATGATGATTTCATTCCGATCCGGCTGCGTTTTACAACATTTTTCTTGCGATCCCCCACTGAGTGTTTTTATTTTGCTTATTAAATCTGTTTCTTTTCTAGTTTCTCGTCTTTGTCGTCGTCGCCGTCGCTACGTTGTTGCGCTCGCCACTAGCGTTTAATACCACGCAAAACAATTTCGCTTGATATGAGATGATTTCTTTGTAAAATGGACGATTTGGTGGAAAACTGAACGCGACGAAAACGACGTTCCCAGGTATAATACAGAGGCTCCTGATATTGTGATAAATAAGTGTAGTATTATTCCGTGTGACCAATTTCCTAATTATGAGTGTTATTAGTTTTTTGCTTTCCACTGAGTTAGTTCTTTTGCTGATTTGCTAGGTCCCGGCGAACATTACTCTGTATGGAAAAATTACAAAATACCTCGGTCTGTTGCGCATAAAAGTGCCAAATATATGGCTAGAATAGCCGAAAACAGTTTCATCTCGGATTCGGTCTCACCAGCGGTCAGGGAATTGCTGAGTAGTTGTTTTGAGTTCTTGTTTCTCACAGTTCTCCGTCAAAGTGATGACTCATTGAATAAACTGAATAAGCTGAATAAACGAGTTCATATCGGCTTTTCAGTTACGGAAAGAAAATGCATAATTTTTGAATATTCATCAGTCAAAAGGATTTCGAGAAAGCAATATACTTTTTCGCATCTGCAGAAATTCACACCGCCTGTCAGTGATTTCATGCGCGCCCAGCCCTTATCTTACACTTTGACGAGTAAAAGTTTCACTTTTAGCCGAAAAAAACAACAACAATAGGCTGCTTATCTGAAGTTTTGGACAATTGTGTCTGTATATTTTTTATATGAAGGTTACTTTCTTAATTAATCATAAACTGCGTTTGTTTTTGGTACATAACTTGCGTCGGGTCGCGTCATGAAGGATCAGTAGCGATGGAGAAAGAGAAATATGGTCTTAATAGTTGTCAAAATGGTAAATAATATAAATGTTTTACATAACCTTTAATTAACTTGGCTTAAGCTGAACAGCTAATTTCATAAATCTCCAAGTGTACCGTTCAAAGCAAAACATAAAACGCTGACTTCGAAATTTTGTTATAAAAATATAAGTAAATTTGCATACGTAATTTAAAACCTCTTTAAACTAACTTTTACAAGCATCGCAACTTCGACATTCTCGCTAAAACTCGTAGTAGAGTGACGACGGCTACCACGTGTTCCCGCCAAAATAACGCTGGTTCACGCGCGAGCACTATCTTAGTATTAGGAAAATCTCGCACTCGTTGTCGTACTCGTCTCAGTATCTAAAGGTCTCTAATGTGTACATCAACCTAACTAAAAGAAACCTCATATGATACATTTGCTTTTAAATTTCTAATATAACACAACCATTTTCAATAGTTCAGGTGTTTTTCTTTTGTTGCCTTTGTTTCCAGCGAAGAATCTTGATTCCTCAGAATATTTACAACCCAAAAAGGTGGAAATAATATTATCGTCCAAAATAGCATCACATTGAAACTTTAAAAGCAATAATGTTTGTATTCAGCTCCTGGGACTTGATCGTTCTTAGCCCAATTTTCCAACAAAATTGAGTTTTAGGTTGTGTTCACACTACGCCGGATAGTTTTTGCGGACCAATTTAGGTTTTTGGGAAACTGACCACCTACCCCTCCCCTAAGCCAACATTTTGCCCCAAACGAGACGTAAAAATGTTGACTTAGGGGAGGGGTAGGTGGGCAGTTTCCCAGAAACCTAAATAGATACGCTTCTGCGCCGCCACGTCAGGAAATCATACCGGATAGCGCTTCTGTTCATACTCAAAAATGGTTGTGGCGGCGCAATTTCTGTGACAGAGCAAAGCTGCGCTGCTCTGATCTGTAAAGCGGAGAGTCGCATGTCGGATAGATGTTCATACTATACCGTGGGCTAGCTTTTCGTGTCGGCACGCAAAGCTAGCCCACGGTATCATAGTGTAAATATAGCTTTAGAATTTTGTTCTTGACAATGGATGTTAAACATTGTTTTAACAGAAGGACTTCTCCGTGAATCCTTTAAGCTAGTATTTGTTCCCAGCCTAATTAAGTGTAGAAATGTTAAATTTTGGTGACAGGGCTTGTATGAATATGTCTGCCCATCATGGCAAACCAGAGCACGACCATCTGTGGAGGACTAGGATGTGAAGTCATTTGGATCGACTGTTCCTGCGATAGTGATGAATCCAAATTCCAATCCTGTGAAACTCCCGGAAATTGCATCAGGAAAATTAGGCGAAATTAAACCTCCAAGGTAAGAAAGAGGTCTTCTTATGTTATTGTTGTATACAGTGTCATGGAATTTATACTCCTTAGTATAAGGTCTTTATCAATGGAAGTCTTGCAGTCAGAGGTCATGAATACGGAGACCCCTGTAACTGTGTCAAGTCTGGGAATCACAGCCAGGTGTGTGAAGACTGTATCTCTGTTTTGGACGTAGAAAACTGTCCGTAATACAGAGGCCTTGTTAAGGAAAGATTCAGTTGTAATTGGTATGTACCAAGGCTTTATTGGTTTACGGTGGTTTCAAAACCGTGGATTTTCGATCCTACTATGTGAGCCCAAAAATCGTGAACGCTTTGGTCTTGGTTATTCACCAATCAGACATCACTTGTCACACAGTCGCGTTAGCTGTCTCTAGGCCGTATCAGTGACAACACTTGTAGTTTTTTCTTTCTTTTCTTTTCGTCTTTTTCAGTATTGATCATACTTACAAAGTTTACATTGGAGGAGCTCAGAAGCGACCGGACGGAAACTACTCTCGACCCGTACAAAACCCCTCAGGGGAAGTTATAGGACAAGTGGCTGACGGAAACAGAAAGGACATCAGAGATGCTGTGGAGGCCGCACATAAAGCAGCACCAGGGTGCGTGTATTGTTGGGGAGTAGGGTGTTAAGGCTATGGTCACACTATACCCGCAGATAGCTTTTCGTGCCGTCCCAAAAAGCTATAGGTAACTGGCAAAGATATACTGTTTGGTATTATTGAATGTGAGGACGAGATATTTGGGAATCATATTTTACTACTGGAATAACAATACCCATACTCTTGTAGACAGAACAAACATTCTCCGTCCATTAGAGTTCTTACTTCTAAAATTAAACACTGTTTTGTAATCGAGACAATGATCGTTAAGTCAGACGATAAGTTAGAGACCCACGATATGAAATGCAGCAAATATAAAGTTGAGTCGCATACGATCATTTCGCCGCTTTCTTCATTTATTAATTTTTCATGTAAATAGAAAAGAATTTACTGGGGTGTGTTTTTATCAGTATGTAATTGTGTGTGTGCGATGTGTATATGGTTAGTTTTCTTTTCGTTCTTTTTTGTTTTTGTATTTTTCTTTCGTCTTCATACAAATGTAAGGGTCACCGTGTAAAACATTGTAATACATAAATTTATTGTAAGACGAAATAAAAATTTATTAAAATAACATAAAAATATAGGTAACTGGCCAGACCTTCTGGAGTTTAAGATGATTTTTTAATTACCTTTTCCCTTAGTTGGGGCAAGAGAGCCGCCCACAACAGAGCTCAAATTGTTTACTACATGGCGGAAAATTTAGAGCTGCGACGCAGTGAGTTTAGTCAGAGACTGTGCGATATGACAGGCTGCTCGCAGGAGGAGGCCAGCAAGGAAGTCGATATCGCAATACAGCGGCTGTTTTACTGGGGTGCTTATGCAGATAAATATGGAGGTACTGTACAGGTAGGTGTGAGAATAAACCAACTAATGTTAACAAGAATACCGTGCTGCACGAAATTTTTGGGGAGTTTATTTTTGCGGATTGGCGATTTGTTGTGTCTTGCGGGAACCAATTTTTGCGATTAGGACAGATTGGTTTTTCTTGCTGGGAATTAATTTTTGCGGTTTTCAGAAATTACCCAGTATCTAGCATTGATAATATTTTCGTTTTCGTTAAGTACGTGCAATAGAATACATACTCTCAAACAATACTATGGTATGCCTACCCTATGTAAAACCAGTAATTCATTGTATACCGTTTTGTTTCTGAATGAAAGAGGCACGATTTCAGACAAACACGATTTCTTCGTAATGTCTTGTGTAGCGAATTTAAGGTAGAGAATATTAACTCTGGAGTAAATTTTTACGGGAAAAATGTTTGCGGTAATTTTTATTTGCGGGAACTGGTTTTTGCGCATCGCTTGAAAATCGCAAAAATCGCAAAACTTTCGTGCCACAGGGTAGGTACAAAATGTAGGCATTAATACAGTAGATGGAAAATCATAGTCAGGTTGTTTGTAGTCTTGAGTAAGACATATGGACAGTGACTGATGACAAACTGTTCGATGGTCATCTTCCGAGTTAAATGTGCCTAAATATAACTACGGTGCGGGTTGTCATTGGTCACTCTCCACTAGTCCTATTCAGGACTACACCCACCCGGACAATCATATCCCACCGACATTTATCATGACTCCTGGTTTCAAACCACTCACTAGAAAAATGCAGACAGTTAATTCGCATTTGTATTAACTTGCTCAGTCAGGGTTTTCAAACTGAAAAAAAGTAGCAGGAGGAAATTGCAAAGTAGCCGGAGCACTACCGTCGGTTGCATCTAAGTGTGTACACGTGAGGAAAAAACATGTTGTAATTGGGGGCAAACATGACATGTTTTGTCGCCAAACATTCGAAGATTGGAGTAAGCGGTTGTTGTGGACTTGATTTGTTTTTGCTAAAAAGATATATTTTTTGCAAGAATTTTTAGACGTTAAGAATAATTTCTGGAGGCAAGTGTGCTGATTTTAAGAGAGAAATATGCGTGAAGGTTGAGAAAAATGAAATATGAGCGGAACGCGCTGATAAAAAGCATATAAACAACTTACCTTTGGCGCGACAGTTTGCTTTAACGGCTGTCAAACTTCAAATGTTTGGCGGCAAAACACGTCATGTCTGGCACCCTATTAGAACATGTTTTTTTGTCTCGTGTTCACGCTTAGATGCAACCGACGGTATCGGCAGCCTTGTGGAGTGGGGGGAGCAACCCCGCCCCTTCTGCAGAGAGGAATGGGGAGCTTCCCCTGGAAAATTTAAAAACCAGGGTTCCTTGATTAATGAACTTTATTCCCTTGTATGTTTTGCACCTGTGACTGATTTTGTTGAGCGCCACTGTACACTTATTAACAACGTTTAGTGTTCAAACTTTGTAAAATTAGTTGCTTTCAAAGTAATAAAGTTTTGCAAAAATGGCCAGGAATGCTTCTACATTTTGCATGAGTACAGTACTTATTACATTATTTGACTTCTTGTATCTCCAACTGAACAACAACCAGCTTTATTAAAACCAGCTTTATTACAAAAAAAAGTTAAAATTTTACAATACAATATATTAATACAAAAAAAGGTAACGTTTACTCATTTAGAGAGAACATTTATGTAGTTTTGACCCCCAAAATGCATTTTCCTGCAGTTCCAGCTCAAGATCGTTTTTGTTTTCTTCGTGAAAGAGAGCTGCAAATGAATCAACGGAATAACGAAATATTGCCATAAAGTGGCTTCCGTTGCTATATTTCCTTTTACATACATGACGTATTATCACAACAAAGTCAGCGGTCTCGTTTCGTTTCTACTTCGATTCGCTGCAATTCGCAGTTTTTCTCAACACTTGCGCTGTTGAAGGCTTTTTTTGTTAAAACTTCCTTCAGTCTTTTCTTGAAAATACATTTGGTGCAGTCAAGACCATAATGAGTAACATTTCACGAGAAAGACTGCCTTCGCATTCACCACGTGGATGCCGCTACAGCTACGGATACTGGTCATTTCAGCCTCAGCATATTGTTTTATCGTCACTTTCAGAACTGGAACAACACGTAATATTTGTTAACTCTTATTCCTAAAATTATTGTTACCTGTTTCATGTAATTATAGCCACACTGTTTATTAATTATTTTCAGCAGCTGGCGTTTATTTATTTTCTCAAAAAGATCAGATCACGATTAGTTTGGTGAAACAGAATTGTGTAGATTTGGAATACAAAAAGTACCCGGCGCAAATGCTTGAAGTAGCCGGTGACTTGCGCCGGGCGCCGGCTAAATTTGAAAACCCTGGGCTCAGTCGCTCAACTTGCCGACTTCCTTGATTAACTCGCTAACATCTTTTCCCTGGGGTTTTTGGTAGGGGACACTCCCTTTCCGAAGTAGTTCAGGCAGCTGGTATCATTTATCAGTGTGCGTGCTGCAGAGGATAGTCGAAACTAGGGCTGGAAAACCCCCTCCACCCAAATTCCTCAAGAATCCCCCTTGGGCGTCTTTGATTCTTCTTTGGTACCTGGGGGTCACTGAGAATAAAACCCACTAAAATACTTCAACCTTTTGCGAAGGCGTTCTCAACGGAACTTTCCATAATGTTAACTAGAGAGTAGAAGGGCGAGTTTACCAAAGTGGTAGGCGAGTTGCTACGTTGCAAAAACAAGTTACCATGGTCACGTGTTTGTGGCAGGAAATCGTCTACTTGCCATTTGGACTTGCATGCTCTCCAAGCAACTTCCCAGGAGCCACTTTAAGGCCATGTCTTAAGTATTCTGCAGTCAACACTCTCTAAGACGGACACCTTTGGGACTGGTTCTAAGTGTCTGTTTTCGGGAGATGTCCGTCTTATTGAGAATAAAGATTGATTTATTTATTTACCAGCTTTTCTGGACACAGGCCCAGCACACGAACGAGACTTAGGTCCCATGCAAGGTCCCATCCCTACCCAACCCCACAACCCGTAAAAGTTGGTCACACCACCGGGGTCTACGACCCCTACTCTTTTTTGAATAGTGATGTGGGTTCTTTTAAGGCCGATACACACGAGGGATTTCGCTCGAGGAGCATGCTCCAGGGGCACGCTCCGGGAGCAAACTTCCTTTGTGTGTACCAACAATTTCATGGGTATACTTCATTCTCGGCAGCAGAATTTCCACCCCGCAAAATGCTCCACGATATTTAACCGGTTAAATATTTGGGAGCAAGCTCCCGGGGCAAATTGTGCGAACTTGAAAACACTCCCTCGTGTATACTGACACGTGCAAAATGAGCGTGGAGCATGCTCCGGGAGCAAAACCCTTCTTGTGTATCGGCCTTTACGTCCCACAAGAACAAATTAGATAGGCAGGGACCAACCCTAGTGTCCGCTTTACAGAGGTGTCCGTCTTATGTAGGTGTAGGGTGTATTGTTTATAAGTCAGTAGTTAAGATACATCTTAATTTAAGGGAACCTCGTGAATATGGCACCATGACCAAGTCTTATAGGCAAAATCTCAAAGCTGGTTCCCCTTGTTTAACTTTCACATGCCAAGATTCGTTTCCAACCGCGGCAGGATTAGGTCAGTCGGTAGAGCGCTTGACTGAAGAGCGGGAGCTCCCGGGTTCGATTCCCGGGAGCGGACCAACACTCAGGGTCTTAAAATAACTGAGGAAAATGAAGGTACTCCCTTTGCTCTGTAAGTGGCTGGACGTACCTTTGCGTGACTCGGATGACCACGTAAAATGGCGGTCCCGTCTCCAGTAGGACACTAAAAAAATAGTGTCCCCAATTAATACTTTCGTGCTAAATACATTGACAATCAAATAAAGCGCTTTTTTGAACTAGCAGTAATATGTTTTGCTGGTTAATCATGTACCTTTCGTTCTTGGCTTTTTAATTTTCCTCTCTCTCCCCTCCCTAAGGAAACGCCGTTCTATGGTGCTACAGTTAAGATCCATGAGCCTGTGGGGGTGATAGGCATTGCTTGTCCTGACACGTGTCCCTTACTGGCCTTTGTGTCAGTACTGGCGCCTGCAGTCATCCGAGGTAACACTGTTGTTATCGCACCAAGTCAGAAACATCCCATGATTGCTGTGGATATGTACCAGGTACCAATCATGTCCATTTTATTTTCTGAGTTATTCTGTGCATTAGTACTCTGTTTTGATCGTGGACCACTGAGTTCAAAATTTTTTCCTGTGCTTTCCGGTGATCATAGTCGTTTTCTTCTTTAATTACGAGACCATAAAATAATATGTTTATTCGGCAACAAGAAATTTATTTTTTCCCGCGATTATCGATTGAACATATTCTATGATCGATTATCGATTATAATAAATTTTTCGGCACACAATTGTTGTGTGTGAATACTCGAATAAGCGCCCATACTATGGCCTAAAGTTTGAAACATGCCTCTTTTTACTCGACCTCTCTTCTTTTGATAACCGACAAAGGCGGAGCACTATGTTTTAAAATCATGTTTAATCTTAAGCGGAGCATTTTTTGACGATCATGTGGCTTTCTCGTTCACTGCATCATTGGGGAGCTTAAGCAACAACGACGACAGTAAAAACATCAGTAAAAACTGAATTTGCGTCCTTTCAAACTTTATCGCGTCTATTTGAACCCGCTCAATTTGTCAAATGTAGGCCACTTTTCCTGGAATTAAATTCTTAAGGACTTTATCCATGTTCAAATAGACAAAGGAAAATTTGTCGTCGTATGTCCACGTCCTCCATAAAACGTCGCATTGGGAGGTTTCACGTCGTAGTCGTGCAGTGAACGTCAAAGAAATGTAGTAAGAAGCGTGATGCAGGTGCAGAGCATTTGTTTTGCTCATAAAAGCAACAGACGTTTTCACCGATACGGCGGCCATATTGAATTAATTCGATTTAAGGAGTATTATAGGATGCCCTGGGGGCATGAGCACCATTTGTTTGTATTTTCGAGCGTTTCTCGAGACGTTTTTCTTAAAGTTTTCTTAGAATAAGATTGTAATGGGAAAAAAGATCCTTGTGCCGTGTTTGGATCGCCTTTTTCTAGTTTAGTATTAGAAATTTGGTCTTTCCCTGTATATTTCTCGGGAAAAAAAGCGATCATTATTACATCCAAACACGGCACAAGGATCTTTTTTCCCATTACAATCTTATTCTAAGAAAACGTTAAGAAAAAATGTCCCGAAAAGCGCTCGAAAATACAAACGAAATGTGCTCATGCCCCCTGGGCATCCTATAATACTCCTGAAATCGAATTAATTCAATATGGCCGCCGTATCGGTAGAAAGGTCTATTGTTTTTTGTCGTTGTCGTCGTCGTCGTCGTAGTTGCTGAAGCTCCCTATTGCAGTACAAGTAACGCTAACACGCGGTGAAAAGAAAAAGTATTTTTCTAAAATAATTAGCATGGTCTAGCTCATTCTGAAGCATCCTGTGGATGGTTCAGCTCCAACACTGAAAACATGACACGGCGGATGTTCAAAATCTGATCCTCAAAATTTAACAAAGAATGTTTGCCGTGGATTTTTTAAATTGGCTGGCAGTTTCAATTGTTAGTGCTAATCCCGAGGATAAGTTGCCGAAAAGGAGGGCCGGAATTTAACACGTCTTCCAATTTTTCAACTCAAATTTGAACGCCTGAAATATTACGCTATGCCTTATAGGTGATGTTACACGACGTTGATTTTTAGCGCAACACAGCGTTGCAATGTTAGAGCAATGTTGTAACCATTCGAAACAATGTCGCAGCAATGTTGCCACGCTGCGTTGCGCTAAAAATCGTCGTTGCGAATCGTCAAGTGTAACATCACCTTATGTCGAACCAAGTTCAAACGACGGCGTTAGCGGTCCATTTTGCCGCGCGTTTTGCGATAACTGCGAAATTTTAGGTTACAGTTTGTGTTAAAAAATTCTTACAGTGTCTCCGGCAAGGTTCGTTCGTTCGTTCAATGCGGAACATTGCATATTTTTTTCTCGCTTCCTTTCTGTAGATTTTTGACACGTCGGACTTGCCCGGTGGTGTTGTAAACATCGTCACAGGGGACCGCGATCACCTCACTAAATACCTGTCCGAACATCAGGACGTTCAAGCCATGTGGTACTTTGGCTCAGCGGAGGGAAGCAAATTTGTGGAGTGGTCATCAGCGGTCAACGTGAAACGTACCTTTGTAAACTACGGTCAGAGCCGAGACTGGCTTGACAACTCTCAGGGGCAGGGCGAGGAGTTTTTGTTCCACTCTGCCGAATGCAAGAACGTATGGCTTCCGATGGGAGACATCTTTGCCAATTAGTCGGCTTGTAAGGTGACTGCCCACTTGGATACGCATGTCAGCTCATTGCTGTAGTTACAACTGATTGAATAAGGGTGTGATTGAAAACTGCTGATGATACGTACGATAACTCGCCCAAGGCTTTTCTCGAACAAAAAGAAATGAGCAAGGGCTGGGGAGGGGGGCAAAGTGGAAGTTTGAAGAGGGAAGAGGACTTAAGTAACTTTCGGGAATAGGCCACTTCCGAGCTCCAAAAACCCTCACTTTCAAAATGAGGCTAAGTGCACAACCTTTCTTGTGAAAATGAGTTTTACTTGCATGAGAATGAAAATCACTTCCATATCAAAGGCTGAGCACTTAACCTCGTTTTGATACAGAGGCCCGGGGGAACTCGGAAATGACATATTACTGGTTTGCACGTAACATCACGGCTGCCATGTTGATGATCCTTTGACTAAACTCCATGTTCATGTAAATTATACATGAAATAATTCTGTTTTATTGACCACCAACATGGCCGCCTTGTCACGTGGTTGCAAACCAAGAATATCTTCTCCTAATTCTGGACGGCTTATGATTTCGATCATGATATTTACAGCTTCGAAGTGATTTTCAAACACGAGACGGGTTTCAGTAAAAAGAAAATATGGGCAAAGTATCTGATACTGGGGGATGATTCACAGGAAAAGCGCATTCCAAAAATTGCATTGTACACGATTTTTTTGCCCTTGCTTCTTTGCATGAGAAATTTCATTCGTTCGCAGCACCAATAGGACAATTGCACGATGACGATATTTGACTACAACTACCAGAATTCATTTCGTTGTTGCTTTGTTATTTAAATTTGTCAATCCCGCTGAGGATTAAAGAACAATAGCCTTAATTTCCACAAGAAAACAACAAACTCAAGGATTCTGGTAGTTGTAGTAAAATGACGTCATCGTGCAATTGTCCTATTCGTCAATTTTTTCCTTTTTTTTTTTTTGTTTTTTTTTTTTAATGGTCTTTACATTAATAATTTATAAAATGACCTAATGCAAGTTGATGTACTCAGGGGAATAGAAAAACGTTACAGTGAAATATCGATTATGAACTTCCCTGCCGCATATATCTTTATTTCCTAATTGTTATGTTGGTGTGTATGAAAACTGTTGGTCACTATACTTTCACCCGTTGGGTAAACACTCAGGTTACGACAACATAATCACTTTTTTGTTCATTTGCTACTCACTGTAAAACTCAAAGCATACAACCAAGGGGATATACTTTTTGTTGTAAAGTAGTACCTTTTTGGATAATGTGTTATAATTTCTGCAACTATACAAATTTTAAAAGATGGTAATGCAGGGTAGTGATTAACATAAATACTAAATAAATTGACTAGTTGTAATAAATTAATTGGTGTTCACAAGAAAAACGAAGGGATATGTCTCTACAGTCTTAATCTTTGTAGTTAGGCCTGAATGTTTATGATTAAAGTTATAAATTAAGATAAATCTACATTTATAAACTTCTACTCCGCCTGGGCGGAAGGTGTGCGAGTGTGCAAAACACCGAAAAGACTGAGCACGCAGACACGTATGGGATAGCCACGGGCTTTACGCGGCGTGCTAGTGTAACGTAATAGAATTAAAGGCTATTTCACTGTGGAGTCCTTAAGCCCCGTGCAAACGGACGCAACATCGTTGGCCAACAACTCCCAACATTGTTGGATGTTACATGTTGCGTCCGTTTGCACACCCTGCGCAAAGTTTGAAACCGGTCAAACTTTTCAGCCAACAACTCCCAACATTTCTTTTGTTCTGTGATCGCCGAAGCGTAGCGCAGCAATGTTGGATCCGTTTCCACAGCTCTTCCAACATTATTGGGGCCACGCACGCTCATTTGTTGCATCCGTTTGGACACCACTGCCAACACGCACACAACAACTCCCAACATTGTTGGTGCAACAATGTTGGGAGTTGTTGCGTCCGTTTGCACGCAGCCTTAGAGAGAATTACCTTTTCTGTTAGATGTTGGCATCATTGAACGGTGTATGGCTTGTTAATGCGTAGATAAGTTGAGCTATTACCCCATCGTGTTTGACAACTCAGGACAATTTAAAAAAGTTATTGAGTGAGATTATAATGCGCAGAGTCAATGTGAAACCAAAGTTGCCCACAAAATCATAACGGAGCAACCCCCTGCCTTCCTTCGCACAAAGCTGGGAACGCGCACTTTAAAAAGTCATTCGTAGTGTTATCTCAAGTATCTCAACGACTTTTGAGTGTTATTGGGGCTAAGGGCGGTCGTTCTTCCTTTTGCTATAAAAGAAAGGAATAGTTCAATATGACTCTCTTATTTTTTATTTATTTTTGTGCCTTACACAATAATTTAGGGTAGGCATTTTGTAGCTGATCATTCACCTGGTACAAAACCACCATGCCAGAACGCAAAGGACTCACTGGGACAAGAAAAACAAAAGGCGTACATCAAATAAAATGCTAATTTCCATTGTTTGTTTTGCCTCAGTGTGACCCTTGCTCTCTAGCATGGCAGTTTTGTACCACGTGAATTTCAAGCTGCAAAGACCCCGTTGCATTTGTAGTTTCTCGTTACATTATATTGATCAGTTTCTTCCATCGAAGTTCCGGAGTTTTGTTTACTTTTGGCTTTGATCATCAATGAAGACAGCGTGTCAACTAAGGGATCCTCTTGCAAGCAAGACCAAGCCAGAGGCGTGGTAACTCCGGCCCAGTCCACATGGACTGCATGGTTCCCGCGCTTTTCCGACTAGTTCTTTGGGACCCCAGTACTTTGAAGCCGTTGTCAGTATGTAATTAAGGACCTTAAGATCCGAGGACGGCGACGGCAGAGAAAACGTCGCTGAAAAAGTGAATTCGCGTTCTTTCAATCTTCATCGTGCTTACTCCAAGTCACTAACTTTGTCAAATGCAGGCGAACCCTCCTAAAGTTGAATTCCTAAGAATCATTTCCAAGTTCAGAAAGAGAGAGTAAATTTCTTCGTCGCTTTTGTACTTCCTCTGTACATCGTGAAAATAGGCATTTTCACGTCGTAGTCGTGCAGTGACGGCAAAGAAATGTACAAAAAAAGGTAATCCGCGTGCAAAATTGTTGTTTTACTATTTAAACCTATTGCTTTTGTGGCGTTCCCGTTGCCATGGCGGTCGTCGAATCTTAAGGTGCCTAGTCGAGAATCCGGCGCCAGATCAAAACTTCGATTTTATTTTTAATTCACCAAAAACCCTCTAGTAAACTTTTTTCAAAAACAATATGCTAAAGTTCCAGCGAAGCTCCGTGACTGCGAAAAATGGGAAAGTTTAAAATCGGCCTGAACATGGCCGAAGGCCCGATGGAAATTATACAAATTAGAAAAAACGAAATCTAGTCTATACGTCATCTTTAGAGGGCTTGTTACACATTTCTCAAAGTTGCTTTCAAGCTATATTTCATCTTGATCTAGGCTTTCTTTCTATTTTTTACACTCGTGCAAAGAAATTAATGTTTCGTCATTTGTTGACACCGTGAAGTTTACCATATATCAGAAGGCTATAAAACCAAGGGTATATATATTTAGAGGTTGTGAAAGTTATCTTTTGAAAGAACTGTTCACCCTGTTTGTCATAGTAAACGCTTTTTTCTGGCCGCCGAAAGCGTGCGCGCTACTAGAAAATACATGAGGGATTTCTCCATTCTACCTCCTTTTGCTCGCTGTTCTCTTATTGGGTTGATTTACCCCTGCAAACAATGTCGAATTTCGACTTAATTTTGTCCTCTTTCGAGAGTGAAAGACGTCAATGGACCATAAAAAGAATTCTCTACATAAAAGAAGAAACACAAACAAGAACTGAACAAGGGATAATATATAGATTTAGCCAGGGCTAAAAGCGAGGCTCCCATTAGCAAATTTATAATTTAAATTAAACAATAAACTTGTATTCGAATTCCACAATTCAGTTAACTTTAGAGCACATTTATGTGACTTTTGAGGGAAAGGCTACCTGATTTTAGAGAAAAATAATTTGCAAACAGCCCAAGAGTGAACCAAATCTTACATGGAGTTGATAGCCTCATATGTACCTCAAAAACTGGTAATCATCTTTTATCACATTTAAGAGCCGTAATGGCTATTGATCACCGTAGATCAATTAGGCTTAGAAAAAAAATCAGGCCAACGTTTTGGCGTTCGACAAGTTTACTTTGCAAAATCTTGCCAACAAATCTGGGTGCGTGTAAACCAACCTTTTATACCATGGACAGAAAGCAGTATTTCACAATACAAATTGCTCTCATTCAATATTCATAAACTGTTAAAAAATTTTCCAAAATCACCTATACGGCCATCCGGTTCTCACTTTTGTAGTGCGAGCTGTAGCGAGTGTTTGAATGAACATTAACAGAGTTACGCTCCAAGATAATAAAGAATTTATCATGTTTATTTTTTATTTGATGGTTTAACGCGCGGCATTTTGAGAACTCCTGCAAGCGATGTTCACTGAACGACTGAAAACAATCGGCATAGCGATTAAAATTGCAAGAGAGACTACCAACAATCAATAAAAGAAATATAATTCGGTGAAACATAAACAGAGACAACAATTTTCATTCAGGAAGACAAGTATTAAAGTGTCCCTAAATATCCTGAGTCTTCAAGCTTCGAGCTTAAGTTTGCTGAAGTTTATGTTTTAAGCCAGCTTCCCGGTGTTTGTTTTTTCAAAGACGAACTCGAGGCAAGAAAATCGCTCAAAGCTTTCTTTTCCGGTTAGAATTATAACTAAAGATTCTTTGGAACATTTTCTTTCTATTTGCGGTGAGAAACTGTCTAAAGGCTTTTTAAAGTTCTGTAAGATTATATCAAACCAGATACTCGGTGAGATCGTTGTCTCAAAACTTACAAACGCGCATAAACTAAATTCCCGCATAAACTACGCTCCACTTCATTAAATTAGATACAAAAAACAAACATGAAATACAATAATTTCTCTGGCTTACCATTCGAGATGCAGCTCCTGAAAGTTATCAGGTAAAGCCAGTATCGCTTCAGACTTTGCAATCCTCTTACGCATCAAGCAAGGTGAAAACGAAAACGATGCCATCCGAAATCGGATTTCCGACTTTGACAAGCGACGTTTTCTCAACCAAAAACCCAATAAACAAACTAGCCATGAGTAACAGAAGACTCCTGATAGCAGCTGAATTTCATTTTGTACATCCAGTGGAAAAAGACAGTTAAAAACATCACAGGTTGACACAAAACTCTGTCAGCTTCAGCTGTTAAAGTAAACAAGATTCAAGATGCTGTATAAATTTTGCGCATGAACTCACATGTCAAATTTTGACCAATCAGAGCATAAAAATTGGACGTAGAGCGTGACCAACGCGTGACCATTGTGAGAAAAAACAAAAGCAACTGTCTTCCCTGCCTGTAACAGCTGGCTGAATTTTCACGTCCGAGGTCAGTTTGCAATCAAAATTTTAATTGTGCAGCACATAAACACAACATATTTCATATGAATTAAGAAAAAAAATTGAACTTGAGCCTGCGATCACTTGAAAACTAGTTTACTTGTCAGCGGATAACTTCAAAAATACTTGACCTCGACGGGTCGACACCTGAGCCCGCGATACGGTCAAGTGATACTGGTCATGGGTACTCTGTTTTGACAGCTGTCAATTGATCAAAACATTGATGTCCAATATGTGTGCATTATCAGTTTTCCTGTGCTCCCAAACTAGTAAAAGTATGAGATTGAACGGTGTTCGCGATCTAGTAAAACAGTTAACTGGTCAGCGGACAGCTTCCAAAAAAATCACGTCACCTCGATGAGTTGACACATGAGCCCGCGATATGGTCATGGGATACTGGTCAGTGGCTATCCTGTTTGGACAGCTGTCAATTGACCATATTGTTAATGTCCTATATTAAAGATGTGGGCTTGCCAAGACACGCCTGAGACACCCCTCCCTTCCTTTTGATAGTCTCCCCTACCCCACCCATACAATCTGAAGACGCGTACGTACGTACGTACGTACGCTCGGTCAATCACGTGACAACCAAACGAAAAGAGGTTGACCATATTCCATGGGTATGGGGCTCTGTCCCACGCGCGCTTCGCGCGCGCGGGAGCCCCGCTACAAAGTGTTTATTTCCGTCACAAGCCGCTTTTTTTAACCCTTTAGAAATTAGCACTAAAATTTTTTCTTGTTTGCATTTTAAAATTTCGACCCAGAATCTGCTTTAATTTTTCCACTACACTCTACTTTCGGCTTTGATCGGGAATGAAGCTGGCTTAACATCTGGGGCAGCCTCTTGCAGACAAGACCACAGGGTAAACCAGGATGCCAACAACTGAGATCATTCCAGTCGCCAGATGCCCTAAGAGAACTCCCCTCGTGACCAGTCCACATGTGGCTACAAGGCGCCATAGCATTTCCATTTGGTTCTTGTGGGGCCCATTTGGTGAAGGTAGGAACTGAATGATCGTACCACACGAACGCGTTCAGGCGAGAGTTCCATTCGAGTCCGATCCAAATCTGCTTCAGCGATGGGGCGAGCTTGTTTACCAGGTTTAGTACAAACTCGTTTTCTTCCTGGCTGTTGATTTTCACCAGATTTCCTCCCAGTCCTTTGCAGTATGTCTGGGCATGTTGCCATGTCTGGATAGAGTTACTGACAAGAGAGCAGTATCCATTAAATCGCACC